GGTCAAAAAAACTTAAATTGAGTGAGTTATGCAGATTTGAACAACAAAGTCAGATTACGTTTAATTGCTGTAACATAAAAGAATTCTGATTTGACACGCTTCCTTGTGGGGCTTGTAACTCATTCAATTTTTAACCAAATCAAGCGTTTTTATAGTCTAAACTTAACTACAAATCATAATCTACATGTAGGAAAAAGATTCTGGTCAAAACAAGTTAAATTGAGTGAGTTATGCACATTTGAACAACAAAGTCAGATTATATTTAATTGCTGAAACATAAAAAAAAAATTTGATTTGACACCCTTCCTTGTGGGGCTTGTAACTCATTCAGTTTTTAACCAAATCAAGCGTTTTTATAGTCTAAACTTAACTACAAATCCTAATCTACATGCAGGAAAAAGATTCAGGTCAAAAAAAGTTAAATTGAGTGAGTTATGCACATTTGAACAACAAAGTCAGATTACATTTAATTGCTGAAACATAAAAAAAAATTCTGATTTGACACCCTTCCTTGCGGGGCTTGTAACTCATTCAATTTTTAACCAAATCAAACGTTTTTATAGTATAAACTTAACTACAAATCATAATCTACATGTAGGAAAAAGATTCAGGTCAAAAAAAGTTAAATTGAGTGAGTTATACAACTTTCAAAATTTGAGTGAGTTATCCGGTCCGGTTCCTGGTTTTGGGCCGGTTCCAACGACCGGTTCTTACCGGGTCCCGGTTCCAAAAATTGTCGAAATTATAGTATCGGTCCCGGCCCGACCGGTTCCGGCCGGTTCCCCGGTCCATATGCTCATCCCTAGTTACGATCAAATATAGAAATGAAGATTACATTATTTCACTTTTCAAAAAAAATAAAAAATAAAAAAAGGAAGATTGAGCTTCATTGGGACCCAAAATTCAAACAACACGTTTCCATTTCAAATTAACATTTGTTGCAAAAAAACGTGTTAGTCGTCTTATATACTATCTGAACAAAAACTTATTTAGAATTTTATTCTTCATTTAAAATGGTAATGACCAATATGCATTATTACGATACACAAACAATAGGAATCTTGAGTTCTATTAATCTCTCCTTGTCACTTAACCCTTTCTTATAGAGAATAACCATGAAACCATGGTCGAAATCTCAATGTCATCCGTGTAAGCTCTTTAACAAGCTCATGAGTCTGGTATTCGTTGGTCTGTTCTTTTTGGTAGTTCCCTCCGAGGTTATTGGGTCCAAGTTCATGATTAAAACATTGCCGGGTTTATCTGGTGATCTTAATGTATCACTCGAAACAGGGTAAAGCTTTGCTTTGATTTAATATATATA